CACTTAATAGCGCTGGCATCAATGATCCCGAAAGACCAGAAAAATATAACAACACTGAAGTGAAGTTCGGGGCAACCTTTTACAGCTGCCTCACGGCACTTGAAACCTGCTGTTGTGAAGTATAAAAATCTGGAAACAAAGTGATCCCTCGAAAGCATTAATCACTACAAAATTACATAAGATTGCAGACTCGGTTTGATTGAAGTCTGTACATGGGGATTAATGAACAAGTGCAAAAAGTTTTTATTCATACTGAAAAATACCTTATTAAAGATTGTACATATATGTGCTACGGATAAGTACTTTCTTGATTTCGGAAAAGGAAATCTCGGTGGCCGCTTTAAAATATACTTGCATAGTTTTTGTTGAAAATGAAATTTGTGCCAACACATTTTTCAATGATACCAATAAGAATATTGGGTGTTTTTTTTACATTATTAATAAAATTACTCCCTTGAAGTTGGTCATTGTTTCCCCTAAAAATTTCCCAATCGCCGATGTTTCTCAGGAATATATGATAAACAAGATCAACAAGGAAATGCGGCGCTCAATGAACGCAACCCCACATGACCCAGCAACAAGAACAAGTGGCAAGAAGCCAAGGCGGACCCAAAACAAAACACAGGACAGGGCACTAGGCAGAGCACGGACAGGGCTAATCAATAAAATGATAAATAATTTGTAACTGATAAGAACATGATGTTAAAAATAAGGTAATGCATAAGTTATCTTCATCATAAATGGTAAAATCAGCAATTTTCAAGTGATGTTGCTACTGACAAAACTTTTGTAACAAATGTAACATATTTTATTAAAAATGCCGTATGTTGTCCTTCAGTTTTATTTAAAAATATGGGAGAGGCGCCGTTTTATACCTGTCCGCAATAGAAGTTCGTAAATACTCCGAGAGGGGCGGGGCGTTATGCTTGACTTAAAATCGTTTAACTGTGTGAATCTACTTTTGTCATTTTAAACATGTTACTGTGTTAATGTACTCTTGTAGTTCTACAACTGTTAACACGTTTTCTTAAACTCTATTTTCCGTATTCGAGTTTTACGTTTCATTTGTATATTTCAGATCTATAAGTGTGCAAACATGCATATGTATTGCATGCAATGGAAGATACGAACTTGTAAATTTGTTGTCGTTTTAGATGTTAGGTCAGTTGTTACGATATATATGTAAATTTGTTATATAAAGGCGGTAACCTTCAAATAAAAGATTGAATTAAGAGGTTTACAATAAAAATGGTAGGCATACAAGTTCGCATTTTCAAAAGTCATTTTAAAAAGGAACACTTTGCATGTCTGGAATTTTGGCAACGAACGCCCTCCATATTTATGAGCACCTAATTTGTTGTGACATTTTTCGTTAATTTTTGGACGTTTATCGTTAAAGGAGTTTTGGACATTTATCGGCGATTGAGACATTTATCGTCAATTTTTGGACATTTATCGTCGTTTGGACATTTTTCGACGTTTGGACATATATCGGCGCTACACCACTAGCACCATTAGACGCCAGTATAAAGTCGTCTGCATATAATAAACATATCTAACTTAACCGGATTGTGAACTTTGAGAAAAAAAATCTGGTAATTCTTCAACAAGTTTTGGCTAAAGTTGTGTCCCTGTCTCACACCAACAGATTGTTTGATTTATCAGTATACATAGTTTACTCATAACTGTGTGCATCATTTTCATTGTTATTTATTCAAGTTTTATAAAAATAGTTATTTGAATTATAATAATTGCCAGATGTTGAATATGTCTCTGTTGTTTTCTTGTTCCGACTTCCCTTTAATTTTTTAAAATTAAAAAATTTTAAAACCATTTCATTTTTAAAATTTTGGGAATTCTGCTTAACCCGGGTTTGTGGGGGGGTTGGAGGGAAAACTTCCCACTTTCCAGTATTTTTCATGAACGGGGCTAAAAATAAAAATTTTAATTTTTTGTTTTAGAGTTCTTTAGTGATTCCTTTTTTCCCTTTTTTTAACCCAGGGAATTTTAAATTACCCTTTTTAAATATATCCCCACGGGAAACTTTTAAAAAAGGCCCATTTACCCAAAATTTTAAATTTCCCTTTTTTTACAAAAAAGGACTAGAGTGAAAATATTTATAAAAAGTTTTGGAAAAAAACCCCACAACAAAACAGGTTGTAAAGCCATATGACAAGCTATAAATTTTTCAATAATAGTTTTATATACAAACAATTATGACCACTATTGTCAAAATCTTCGACGATACAGACGTGAACAACCATTTATTACTAAGAAACACACAGTGGGTGAACTAAATGTATTTCAATCGAATTTTGCGAACTGCATACTAGTATGCCACAAAATTCAGGGAAAGAAACGTAGATAAAGACTTAAGTATTTGTTTTTTGAAAGATATCTTATAAATGGCCATAAGTTATTGATTGCTTTACAATAAATTTGTAGAAGTTGATGAATATTTCTGTTTCTGTCCGTTATTATTTTCCACGAAATTCGGAGCAGGAGTAAAGTAACTCGTGGCCACGACATAGTATCTCGTGCGCACGAGATAAATTAAAACACGCACGCACGCACGCACACACACACACACACACACACACACACACACACACACACACACTTTGTGCCACCATGTCACCTTTGTGCCACCGTATTTGTGCCACCGTATATTTCTGATTAGATTCCGTTGATTTTATTCATATAGTTTCAGCCAAGTTTTGTACACACGACCTCGAAGACCGTGTTTTTGAACATGACGTCGTTGCGTATCCTTGTATCACAAAGTCATTGACGGACAAAATATCTTAAATTCTACAGCATTCGGCGGAAATTATTTTTTCCTTTAAGCTGATATAAAATTAATCGTTTTACGCCGAAATGTTTGAAAAATGGAAAGAAAACTGTCAATTTTGTGTAAAATTTGACGTTCAGTTTAGCCGAATTTTTCGGCTTTAAAGCGGCTTATAAAAAATGCCTGACATAAACAAATTTTAAACGTCCTTTAAAATGTTTATTTAGTCAAAATGACTAAGAAAAATAGGGGCTCACCGACTCAAATTTTTCGGTGCACGTGATTTTATAATGAGACATTACGATGGAAAAGCATATTCATATCATACGAGAACGTCATAATATAGTCGATTTATGTAAAATATATAAAAATGGTAAACTTTGTATATAACTGATAATACCAGATAAGTTCGTTACATCGCGATTTCACCATCGTACCATCGCGTTTTCATCATCGTACCATCGTGTTTTCACCATTGTACCATCGTGTTTTCACCATCGTACCATCAGAGGCATAGATAATCTATGTTTCTGGTACTATCGTGCATCGCGGAAAAATCACGATTGTAGGTCACTGTGTAGGAGATTGTAGAGAGTTAGAATACAGAATATAAATAAGGATCTGTTATAAATTCTTCTTATTTGGTTAAAACTAACTTGATTCAACAATGCTTAAGTTACAATTTACATACTATGTAATGAAACAACATTATCATAAGTTTAAGATTTCTACTGGAAGCTATCATCTTACAATATCAGCGTCTATCTGTTGTGGATATTTATTAATTTATTAATTAATAATAAGATAATTGCACATATTAAATTTGACCTCAATGGGAATGTTATCTATCGCTGATTTGCTGATATGTAAGACCCCTACCAACTTGACCGGCAGGCGACGTTATGTCAATTTAGGCATTAAGGCCTAGAACTAGATCTAGATAGTCCTGCATCACTGTATTAAATCTTATCCCCAGGATATCTACAGTTATTTTCTGAAGAAAAAAAAACGAATTTAAAAAAAAGAAAGGAAAAAAATAAAAAATAAAGTCTCTACGTATGCATTGTATATGTTTTGCGTTAGATTACGGTATGAAGGGTAGATGTAGCTGGCTTTTGAGAGAAGATCGTTAAATGACGTCACACGGATGAAGGTCTGCGTGACAGCATGATCGCAACTTTTCGGTCTACTTCATACTTTTGTAACGTATAATAAAACTTTCAAATATATTTATGTAGTATTACCAGTGTCATATTTGTATGCTGCTAAAGTTTAATCTTATTTTTCTTGCAGCCCATCACATTACCTTTTCTTTTTCAAGTAGAATAAGTCGAATATAGAAATTAGATGATTATAGTCCATAATTATTGTCCTGTGATGTTGGTCTTAACGGTACTTGGGCATGTCCAATAAAGGGTAAGTTTGCATATTATTTGAGATTGAAAGGGTCAAAAACTATATATAGTTTAATTCTAAAAAATGAGTACCATCGTATAGAAGCTCACTTGGTAAATCAACGTCAAAGTAACGTTTAATGATTTGCACTTGCTCTGCCATGTTACTATGATGATGTTGTTGTTGTTTTTCTCCCTTTTTCATTGTGTTTTTTGTATGATAATTTGAATATACATGTATTTGGTTCTTATAAATTTCTATTTTTATTTTATGTTTTTTTTTTATTTATTTCATTTTTGTTCCACTCTTTAGAAACTAACTACATTTCAAGTGATTTTTAAAAATTTTATTTCACATTTTAAACATCAAACAATTTTAAACACACTACGATTACGAAATATTAATGATTTGAATATATGGATCAATATATAACACACTTCAATTCATTATATTTCTAACATTTCTGATAATGCCTTTTTCCTGACGTTTTACAACTGCATATCAACCTGTGTACAAAAATATTCTATCTCATGCATTTGTAACTATTTGAAACAAAACTGGTCAAATAAAAAAGATACATAAAACACTCAAATGTAATGGTACCTCACTAAGATACGAGCATCTAAATGCATGAAACAACACTGACAATGATGCTCTGTCTACTGCGCTATCAAGGCTCATGGAAATATGACGTTTTAATTTTGTGTTTCATTTATTAGGCTTCAGTCTGCTTTACCTATTTTTCGAATTGTTATTAATTTTTATGTAGAAAACATAGGCTAAAGTTATTGTTCTTGGACAAAAAATGCCCCCAGGTTTATATGTGAAAACAACGTGTGAAATATATCTCCAATGTAAAACGCATATAAAACGTTTTTGAAACGTTCATGTTTTGCAAAATTAAAATAATTCTGTTATATACATAAAATAAGAAGTAGAAAAAACTTTAAACTCAAAATTTTCCAAGAAGTTATATATGATCATTTTAAAATTTCATAGCTGACTTACAAAGACGTTAACTGATAACCCGCTTGGTTTGCGTTTCTTATGCTGTATATAAACCAATTCAAAGATATTTCTGAAAATTAGCCTCCTTATCAATAACATAAGGCAAAGGCATTTTTTAAGTCTGCCCTTTAATAAAAGGGCGGACATCTCTTTGTCCCTTTCTCGTATGAGAAGGGGAATCCTGTGATGCGTGTATGTGGTCGCACGGTCACCTTCCTTCAAACATGTCCTCGATGCATGTGTGTGGTCCCATGGTCGAAAATCCCTAATAAAATGACAACATTAACAAAGGCGTTTTGGTCTAGATTTTAAAATCATAATTGGGAAAAAATATTATTAGTCGTTGAGAAATAAAATCTTACTTAAGAGGAGCTTCAAATACAGAATAAGACTAATAATATAAACTTCTTACATTCAATAATGCAAAGTTCTGTTCAATCCTTACACCATTTGCAATGCTTTATAGGGAAGGTCACTCTAACCGGATCTTTCGTAGCGCAACAATCACCTCCCTTTTAAACCAATACGCCATTTGTTATAGGGGAGGTCACTCTAATCAACTCTTTTTTGAAGGCAACAGTTACCTCCCTTTACAACCCTTACGCCATTTGCAATTTTATCAGGGGTGTTCACTCTAATCAACTCTTTTTTAAAGGCAACAGTAACCTCCCATTAGAGCCCTTACGCCATTTGTAATGTTTTCAGGGGCGGTCACTCTAACCGTCTCTTTTTTATTCCAAAAGTAACCTCCCTTTTCAACCTTTACGCCATTTGCACTGTTTTCAGGGGAGGTCACTCTTACCGACACTTTTTTAGTGTAACAGTAAACTCCCTTTTGAACCTTTATGCCATTTGCAATATTTTCAGGGGAGGTCACTTTAATCGACTTTTTTGGAGCACAATAGTTACCTCTCTTTGTACCCTTACATCATTTGCAATTCTATCAGGGGAGTTCACTCTAATCAACTCTTTATTGGAGCGCAACAGATACCTCCCACCGAACCCTTACGCCGTTTGCAATGTTTACAGGGTAGGTCACTGTAAATGACTATTTTTAGCGCAACGGTCACTTCTCTTTTGAACCCTTACGCCATTTGCAATGTTAACAGGAGAGGTCACTCAAAATGACTCGATTTGTAGCGCAAGAGTCACGTCCCTGTGGAGCTCCTACCAATTTGCAATGTTATCAGGGGATGTCACTCTAACTGACTCGATTTGTAGCGCAACAGTCACCTTCCTGTGGAACCCTAACTCATTTGTAATGATATCATGGAGATGTCACTGACAAAGATACACGCGTCTAATTTTGAGGAGCGTGGAAACAAAATATCTACATTCATAAGTTGTTTTACTATCCATTTAAACAAATGCTCAAATTTTATATTATTTTTTTATAATTGATACAAAGTCTCTTTGTATACAAAAAATAAACACGTTTTGACTTGATACAATGTAGATATGTCTGTTTAAAGTTCTATACATATATAGGTGGTTACGATATTAATATATAGTGTCATTAAAAAACTGGCATCTTTTTTCAAGAAAGGACCAACTTTACTTGTCCTGTAATAGGGAACGCAGCTTCTCATACATATTTTATTAATTCTTTTATTCAAATTAGACATATTCAATAAAAATTTAAGTATTTATTTAACCGCTAACAATTGAATGGTTTGATTATAATAAATGTTTGCCAAAGTATTTTAGATAAGAAGGCCCTCTTCCGTTTTTTTCGGATTAAAGGTTTCTTTCCTTATTTCCAAAGGTGTTGCAGGATTCGGGTATTTCGTATCAACATAATGTTGTCATTTATAAACTTTCAATTAAAATTTCGATTGGAACAAACTTCAATAACTTAAATGTTTTTCTTTGAGCTAAAACGACCAATAAAAGAATCACATGACGGTAAAAATGAACTTACACTAAAAAATTGAGTACGACATAAATTGTTTTTTTTTTTGTTTGTAGTTCTTATTTACTTCTTCATTACTTTTAAAGGATTTTCTTTAGACTTAAGATTTTGTTTCTATTAAAATACTTTGTGTTTGCAAACATATGCATATGATTTTAATATTTAGAAGATTTAAAAGTAAAATTCAATAATAGCTCAACATCATAATTCATATGATTCTTTTTCCATGTTTCCCAAATAGACCAGTTTTAGTTCGGCCGAGTATCTTTTTAAAGATACTTCTCGTTTTAAGTGTCTTTTTAAGGAAGTAGCCACGATATGCAAAGATAAAGTGTGGCTGTCATAAATATGAACATAAATTATTTTTGATGCAACTCTAGTCATGCAAAATTCCGATGTATCAAACTCAAATTGTTATGGTATAAAAACTAAACGCAGTCGCTACATCTCGGTGCCCTGTAAGATGAATTATAGTATATAAAAATAACTTTATACAGGAAAATACATACAGATATATACAGTACGATTTAGATTGCAAAGATCAGAAAATATATTATAATATATTTGTTCGTGTCTATAAAATAAGTTTTAGCCTACCGCAGTCTGATCAGGATCCATGTTGTTCGCTATCAGTTCCTCTACTTGTAATAAAGTTGGTTAGCGAACAGCATGGATCCTGATCAGACTGCGCGGATGCGCAGGCTCGTCTGGATCCATGCTGGTCGCAAACCCATTATGTTGGTTTTGTCATGACGCGGCTCAATTGTATTTCTGCTATAAAATGTTGCATTGTGATAACGATAATACTGACACAATCCAATAATAACCATATTGGACCTATGCCGTATAAAGAACACAGAGGAATTTTCAGCAGCTGCTGCTAAATTGCCTTGTTTCAAATGACGAACTATACGAATTTTATGTAAATATGCCCATATGGTCTTTTTCCGGTGGCGAGGGTAAACAAACGCAAACACACACTCGTTTGATTGTCCTCCGACTTCCCTGCGCGGCGTGCACGTCGCCCAGAGGGCATAGGTTACACCAGATAGATGACCTAGTTAGGTCACTTAGCTGGTGTGACCTAACCAACGGCGAAGGGAGTGGCCGTACAAAGAGCTGCTGCTCCCGGAAGAAGTGCCTTTCCCCCTATTGTGTACTGCGTTCTCGAAGCGAAGAACTGGGTCCTAGAAAAGATCTACGACGAAAGACGGCATGAGAAGACCTCCGTTGCGGCTCTACGACCAGCGACGTTGAAGACGAACTAAGTCCTCCGTAACAGAGGCCGATAGTCTGGGACATATGGCAAAGCCGGCGCCCAGTATAAATAAAACTAAAAACACACCCATTTGATTGTGTAGCGAAGCGAAGGGAGACAACTGCGTCGGAGTTTGATATATAAGTTTCGAATAATTGCTTCAATATTATTTTCGAATGATTTCTTTATATTAGTTTCGAATAATTTCCTTTATGATGGATCTAAGCACTCCATATCTTCTGTAAGGATTATATTGTTTAGAATCTTCGTAGCTTTTCCCAAGTAACTTAAGTCTTCTGATCTTTTGATCAAGCTTTTCTTTCCGCTCTTTTTTTCTCTGTATGTCCGCCTCTATTTCTTCTTTGGTTTTCAACTGTTCGATATCAATATACTCTGAAATAAAACAACAACAAAAACAATAATCATACTATGTATAATACAATGAATAAGACCACAGATAAGACCAACCCTATTGTAATGCTAAAGTTATATAAGGAATGTATATAAACTATATATTTCATGACTGTGTTGTATTAAACTTTCACTAATTTAGTTTATTTATTGATAATGATTACCGTATTTCATATTCATGCGTGTATATATATTGTTGTATATGAAGATGAGCTGTATGTGCTTAATTCAAAATAAAATATATGTTCTGTTTAAAATAAAATAAAATAAAAGTTGAGCATTATCTCAAGTCGAATACTGAACGAATTCACAAGATGTAGTAAGGTATAGTCCATATTGAACAGACATATATATTCTATGATAAAAGAAGAAACAGTTTTTTTAAACTGATAGATCTATCTCGTTTAATAACTAAAACTTTTTCATGTAGAAAATGTATAATTTAATACTCTTAATTTTTTAATTAATTTAGGACTCAATTATCAAGACTTTACCTGTATCTAAATACATGGAAACTAAGGTTATAAACCGACTTTTGCCTTTCAGAAAAAATGAAGCAACTATCCATTGCGTTCATAACATGACGTTACATTAATATATGTACGAGGGTTGTCCCAAAAGTCTGCATAAAGTTCCATTTTGAAAATATAAATTGAATAAAAACGTTATATTTTCATTTTCGTGATATATGGATTATATTTTCACTCATTATTCATTTCAGGCTCGCGACACTACATGTATGTGTCATTTTATCACGTTTCGTGAAAATATATTCCATATTTCACTCAAACGAAAAAATATTCTTTTATTATTTGCATGATCGAGAACACATACGTATTTTAAAATATTATCTAGCTACACGGCAAATTAAATAGAAAATACGTCATTGTTTTTTTTTTCCCTCGAAATGTTGCCAACCGGTGCGCGTCAAAATTCTGGCGATTGTCATATATATATTGTTTGTTGAGATGTAAAGTGAAAAACATTACTAAATACTTTGTAAGAAACACTCTCCTACCAAACGGTGCTTCGCTGGCGTCCTTGACGTATTTTGGTATAGGTGCATTACCGTACTGCTCCGGATGTTCCAAAAAATCAATACACTCTGTAATAAATGTTTTCTTCCTTCGTTAAGACCAATATAGATATATACCTTAAAAAAGAAAAAGTTGGCACACAAAAAAGAGAGAAAATTAAGAGACAATAAATAAAATAATAATATTTAAATAAAAATATATAATATGTCCTGCTTCAAAAAACAAAGCAAATTTCATGTTCAATTTTGTAAAACAGTCACATGTTGAAAATAATCATAGGATTAATTGAATCAATCACCAACTGTAAAAAAGTTTAATGCAAAAAGCCATCACAATGCCACATGATCACCTTTTAGCATCTCCTTGATGTGTCCATATCTCCATAACACAAATTGTCTTTTACAAGTCATATAAATATGACGAAGCCAATCCTCGGCGACCTTATACACCTTTTCATATTCATTTTCTGTTGCAAGCAATTCTTCGGTTAGCTTTTTGTCATCCTTTCTCAACGTTTTCATTTCTGAAACAAAACAAAATTGATGCTATGCCAATTCTTGAAATAAGTTAATTCAAGTTTATAACTAATTAGGTATCATTGACATCAGGGATTCAACCTCATGACACGCAAAACTGTTGAACCATATTGACGTCAGTGTTATATGTACCCGAATGGTATCCAGCTGCATTGCACAGGTTAGTACATGCTCATGCTCACCCCTAAACTGATCATTACAAGTAATATAAACAGTATTGTATAGCAAGTTCTGTTGGCAGCTAGATATGGTCTTTACATTTTCATTCAGTGTCAAATTATGTGCAATCATATGACTCAAAAGAAAATGTGTGAGAAAGCAAGCAATGTAAGTTCTAGCGTTCCTTGAGTATTTGCGCCCTAATATATCTAGTAGCAAAGTTACTGTGTGACAAATCTGAGGTACTATATGCCAAAGAATTGTAAATTGTAAAGAATTGAAAGCCGGACTATACTGCACTATTAAAAAGGTTCCATGCCTCGGTCTGATTGAGCCTTTTTATGGACGGCTGTAATAAGCGCAAATTATCTCTATGCCGCCTAAGAACATGAACATGATCTTTAAGTTTGAATTTTTAAGACATACTCAGAGTTCATACAGTGATAATCATAGAACCTTTAATGTGATACGTTCATGCCATTCCATGAAACCATATTGAACACTTTTATGGTCAATCCAATCCGTGAACATCATCGTATCAGTTTCAAAAACAACACTCCAAGCCAATCGGAACCTCCTCTGCCTTTATTTATAATAACCTCGGACATAATACGGATTGAAAGTACCAAAAAAATGTTCTATCAGGTGGTTTTAGATTTAAACAAAAACAGAGGGTGTAATATTTGATAATGTATAACGAATGCATACATTTGACATCCAAAGGAAAATAAAGTCTATATCGGTAAAATTATGACTGAACATAATTATGTCTGACATTCATAATCAATTTATAAATGCTCACTGATGTACAAAAAAGTATAACCAAATACGAATAAATGTACGGTGGCACAAAGGTGACATGTGTATTTTTATTTATCTCATTTATTTTTTCATAGTATCGCGTGGCCACGACTTAGTAACTCGTGGCCACGACATTGTATCTCGTGGCCACAACTTAGCTATCTCGTGGCCACGACTTAGTAACTCGTGCGCACGAGATAAATAAAAACACACACATGTCACATTTGTGCCACCGTATAAATGTCGACAGGTAGACAATCTGTACTTTCGGTTTCCACAACTTTTATAATAATTGTGCCGATTTTTTTGATGTTCTTTCTCTTTTGTATCATAGGAAAAAATAAAAACAAATTCTTGGTTGGACAGTTTTGTGGTTTTTTCTGTCCAACTTTGTGTCATCTATTATAACGTTCGCTACAATCCTTTTCTATATGAAAGCGTATTTGAAGTTTTTGGTTGATCTTTTGATAATATCATAATCTATTCTTAGATAATAAAGACGTCTGGCTCCGCCAGACATTATCAATCAAAGTTTTGTGTTTGTATTAACTCTACTGATTATGACACAAATAAACAAGGAGGAACATGTACCGTGGTAATAGTGAAACATAAGCACGGAAGCATGGTTTTGGTGTGATATCAGATGGTATCACAATGGAAAAGTGTAAAAGCTCTGCTTAACAAAAATGAAGTACTATAGTATAGATACACGTACTAGTTCATCTTTTTTTTATTTTTGCTGCATGCATATATTTTTATATTCAGAGTTGATTTATACTTCTTATATTAATCGATAGGAACTTATATCACATATGCATAATTACATGTATAAGATACCATTATGTCCATAAAATCTCAAATTAAATTTAAAACTAGAAATGTGTCCATAGGACACGGGTGCCCCCACCGCGCCACTGTTCTATCAATCTTTTTACTAAGTCAAGGGAAATAACTCTACAAATACTGGATAAATCCACAAGCGAAACCCCAGGTGCAAATCTAAATATGCTGAGCAACCTGCCCATAAGGTTTAATGACTATGTCAAATCCTTTTTCAGTAACTTGAGACACAAGTTGAAAATTGCAAAAATTTTCTAAGTGAAGGGCAATAACTCTAAAAATACTAAATAAATCCAGACGAAAATACCTGGTGCACAACTGCACATGCTGATCAATATTCCTGTAAAGTTACATGACTCTAGTCAAGTACTTTTTGAGTTATATGCGACACAAGTTGAAAATTGCAAAATTTTACTAAGTCAAGGGCAATAACTCTGAAAATACTAAAAATATCCGGACGAAAATTCCCAGGTGCACAACTACACATGCTGATCAACATTCCTGTAAAGTTTCATGACTCTAGGTCAAATACTTTTTGAGTTATATGCGACACAAGTTGAAAATTGCAAAATTTTACTAAGTCAAGGGCAATAACTCTGAAAATACTAAAAATATCCAGACGAAAATACCCAGGTGCACAACTACACATGCTGATCAACATTCCTGTAAAGTTTCATGACTCTAGGTCAAATACTTTTTGAGTTATATGCGACACAAGTTGAAAATTGCAAAATTTTACTAAGTCAAGGGCATTAACTCTGAAAATACTACAAATATCCAGACGAAAATACCCAGGTGCACAACAACACATGCTGGTCAACATTCCTGTAAAGTTTCATGACTCTAGGTCAAATACTTTTTGAGATATATGCGACACAAGTTGAAAATTGCAAAATTTTACTAAGTCAAGGGCAATCACTCTGAAAATACTAAAAATATCCAGACGAAAATACCCAGGTGCACAACTACACATGCTGATCAACATTCCTGTAAAGTTTCTTGACTCTAGGTCAAATACTTTTTGAGTTATATGCGACACAAGTTGAAAATTGCAAAATTTTACTAAGTCAAGGGCAATAACTCTGAAAATACTAAAAATATCCAGACGAAAATACCCAGGTGCACAACTACACATGCTGATCAACATTCCTATAAAGTTTCATGACTCTAGGTCAAATACTTTTTGAGTTACGTGCGACACAAAAGAGAACGGACGGACGGAAGGACGGACGGAAGGACGGACGGACAGACGGACGGACGGACGGACAAGGGTAAATCTAAATGCCCGCCACTAACGTGGGGGCACAAAAAAAAGATTCCATATCATAAAAAGTACCGCATTATTACGATTGTGTACACAGGAAAATTATGGTCAAATACCGTATTATTAAGGTTGTGTATACAGGGAAGTTACATGGTGAAAGGTTTGGGAAACATTACCTTACGAGGAAGTAGTATCATCATTCATGAAACAGTAAAATATCAATCGCAACGAGGAATTTATAAATCCTCATGATAAAGTTACTCTTGTGTTTTTATCTTTTCTAAATTAAAACAACTAGAACAATGACAAAATCAAACAAACATGCAACAAAAACAACAATAAGGGAGACACACACTAAAAGCTTTCCTCTATAATTTGAAATGGTAGAATCATTTATATTTTTTCATTTTTTTTACAAAAGTTACAACTAATGTTGCGATTCGGAAAATCTGTTTTTACTTTCGATATTAGTTTAACCCTGACATTTCAGCAATAGTCATTTTAACTAACTGTAAGTTCTTTGATAGCTATAATGTTATAAAATCTTACCGACAAATATCTGATATTTATTGTCCCTCTAAGTACTTCCGATTCAAAACCCGGATGTAAAAAACAGATTTTAAAATAACGTCAATAGATTGTACATAACGAAAATATTTCCCTTGACAGCAATAAAGAATTTCGAAGACTTATGACAGTACTGTGCATGTATGGACAATTTTGAAGATACAAAATACGATAAATTGTTGAGATTTCGTTTGCGGATCAGGACCCCTTATCAGGATGATAACAGTAAAGACTGCGTCAAACTGTTTAGTAATTGAATGATTTTGATAAATGATCACCTATTTGAGCCGCGTCACGACAAAACCAACATAGTGCGTTTGCGACCAGCTTGGATCCAGACTAGCCAGCGCATCCGCGCAGTCTGATCAGGATCCATGCTGTTCGCTATCAGTTTATCTACTTGTAATAGGGTTGGTAAGAGAACAGCATGGATCCTGATCAGACTGCGCATATGCACAGGCTGGTCTGGATCCATGCTGGTCGCAAACGCACTATGTTAGTTTTGTCGTGACGTGGCTCATTTTAGTCTCTACTGCTCAGCATGTATATTTAATTATATTTAATTATCTATGTTTGTAAAATGTAAACATTAGTTGGTTTACATAATTATATTTATATCAAACCACAAACGTAAAAAATGCATTAATACTAGTACATAAAGTATGAAGTATTTCTTTCTACAGTGAACATGAAGAAAATCAGACAATACATATAGTATAAATTGAATACCTGAGTTAAAGAACGGTATTTCCATTATATTTAATTTATTTACGACAAAATAAGTAGAATATCAATATGTAACTTGCGTGACTAACAAATTCAAATGAAAATTTACTACATGTAAAATAATGACATACACAATATATACTTGGTTAAAACAAACAAGTAGATTGGACATAGTTCAAGTGACTGTAGTAAATAATGGAGATAAAGAATAGATTTTTGCTACGCAGAACAAAAAATCTTTAAAATCATGGCTAAAAGTAGTCAAGTTATGTGATTAAAACGCTTCAAACTATTGGTCAAGTCGACAAATTAAAAGTTTGTTCCGTTTTGACATGAATCATATCAAATGTCGAGTTGCTTAATGTGTACTGTAGAATAAGTCAGAAAACATTGACAATAATGTGGGTTTTCTGACATTTACAATTTTTTTCCCAGAGTTTTCATTTAGACATATAGGCAGAAATAAAATACATCTGCCACACTTATTGACCCAATAGTAAAAACTCCGAGCGACATAAGAGATTTTTATGCTAGTAATATTTTTATTAATTTTGCAGCACTAACCTTTAATACATATAAACGTTGAAGTTGGAATTATAAAAATGCGGACTTTGTGCGGTTAAATGAATTGATAAATTCATATAACTGGTCAATATCATTTAATGGTACTGTAGACGAGGCTTCCGATTCATTAACATCTTCATTTTTAAATTTGATTAAACGATGCATTCCATATAAAGAAGTTACAATACGACCACACGACAGATCATGTGACGATTCAATAATACGATGAACTTCCCGTAAACGTGACAGACAAAAATCACGTGCAATTCAAACTAATAAATTGTCTGGATGGATTTTATATAAACTTTTAAGAAACAAGGTTAATAATTTCAAGAAGCACGCGATACAAGTTTTCTTCAATTTAGAATTTACTATCAACGATATAAGTAGTAATAATCCTCGCGAATACTGGAAAATTTTGTGAAAATGTTACTTAAAGATAATAAACAATGTGAAATAATACCGCCATTAAGACTAAATAATGACTTGTATGTATTTACTGATAAAGAAAAGGCAAATGCGCTCAATGATATGATTGCTTTATCTCCGTATCATCTATTGATAATTCTAATATTTCTTTACAAATTTTCAATCTTAATACATAAGAATCTTTGTGTGACATAATCATTAACGAAGAAGAAGTTACAGACATTCTTTCATGCTTAATAATAAAAAAAGCTAGTGGACCAGATGGGATAAGTCAACGTATGCTTTAAGAAACATCCTTTAGCATTTGTAATCCTCTATGTACACTTTTTAATCGTTCCCTTCAAGAAAATACATATCCCACATGTTGGAAAAACGCAAGCGTTATGCCATTATTTAAAAAGAGGGGCACGATATTTGTTCTAATAACAGACCAATTTCTTTAATAAGATGCATCGGGAAAGTTATGGAAAGAATAAAATGCAAATATATTTATAACCATTTACATATAAACAATCTTATATACAAATATCAATCCGGGTTTTTTTCCAGGATATTATACTGTATATCAACTAATTGACATTTATCATCAAATATGTAAAGCTTTTGATGAAAAGAAATCCACATGTATAGTGTTCTGTAATATCTCTAAAGCATTAGACCTTGTTTGTCATAAAGCTCTCCTGTTTGAACTGCATCAGTACGGCGTTACAAATAACTTGAATACTTGGATTGCTAGCTATCTTAAGTCGAGGAACCAAAGAATTTTTGTTGTTTCTTCTTTTTCTGATTCAAAATTCATACATGCTAGTGTACCTCAAGGATCTGTGCTTGATTCTCTTCTCTTTTTGATTTATGTTAATGACATTGCTGAAAACTTACTTAGTTTGCCTTGTTTTTTTGCAGATGATAGTTCTTTATCAGTAACAAGCGATGATTCTAAATTTATAGAAATGACTCTAAATATTGATCTTAAAACTATTACCGAATGGGCAGACCAATGGCTTGTAACCGACAGAAGTATTATTTTGTTGTTTTGTACTCTAACAATGTTCAACTTAATTACATTCAACGCCATAGGCATCTAGGGTTAATCTTAAGTAATGATGGAACTTGGCATGAACATATTAATAATACAACTAACACGGCGTCCAAAATATCAATTTTTATGCATTTATTAAAGTTCAAATTAAATAGGATAACATTAAATTAAATTTATATTTCCTACATGATGCCTTTATTAGAATATGCTAGTGTAATTTTAGACAGTTGCACCTTATATGAAAAAGAAAAAAAATTGAAAAAATGCAATACAAAGCTTCGCTAAGTAACTGGTTTGACTCGCTCGATGTCTTTAGAAAGACTTTTGCACGAAATAGGTTGGGTCTGTTTAGCAAAACTCCGTTTCATGCAAACATTATCGATGATGTATAAATCTAAAAATGGGGAGCTTCCAAGTTATCTGGACAATTGTATCAGAATTTAGCCAATATATACTTAGAAATAACGATAATTACGTAACAATATCACGACGAATAGAAGTATTTTCTACATCATTTATACCCTCAGCAATATCGGCATGGAGTAGTCTTGATAATGATATACGTGATTCGCCTTCTTTAAATGTGTTTAAAACTAAACTTAAGGTTAAATTCAAACCCACACTTGTTCCTAACTATTATTAAATTGGAGAAAGATTAACATCTGTTTAACATGCACGTTTAAGAAAAAGATGTAGTAATTTGAGTGATGATCCTTATAGAAATTACTTAGCAAACTCCCCTGTTTGTGAGTTTTGCCATATCGAGGAGGATGATTTTTTTTCTAGAATAGATTAAAAGAGAAGTTTGCAGCTTATTGAATCAACGCAAACTGGTTTTGTCAAAATATAAGAGACTGATAATGATTCGTCTCAATGACAAAGTGGATGAATTAGTTAAAATACTATTTTCATGTAATGATATTTGTATATACAGTCGCACGACCAGTATTGATAGAACAGTTCTCATATTTTGAAGCTTAAACCAGCTAACTACATAATCAACAACAAAACATCATAACCACCAAAACAAACACAAATCAATATAAAGCATATTTCCATATCTCTTTGACGACTGTATGTGTGTCTAGATACCAAATATATTACATGATAAAACTTAATCTTTCGTTTGCATCAATGACAAATAAGTGTGTTCCACTCGTGTCTGAAATAATGCAGAGGGTCCCTAAGATCTCCCCACCAGTAAAGCTCGAAAGTCGTCTGAAGATGTGAGATACTCTCGGTGTGAGAAAACACCAAACACAAATAATAATCTATCTTTGTAATAAACAAATTATGATGTTATCAAAATGTCTATATAGTTTATCAAACAAACTTGGTGGATTACTGCTATTTGCATCTCCAATTGACATAAATTTCAGAGAAAACAGAAGTTTGGTTTTTATGAATATAAACTATAATTAAGCATGATTCTAACTTATGTACAGTTTGATAACCCGTATTTCTAAATATACTGTCCTAATTTGCCTTTTTGTATAATGGAACATGTTGCCCTCCTAACAGATGAATTCATAGAAGGCGATTTTATTGAAATAAATGCAGCATTTATCTTTTTAAGAAAAGATTCAGAATGTTATCAATAATAATAAACGTGCACATATTTCATACTCTAGGCATAAATCAAGGTTAATATTAATAAAAACAAACAAGCAAGACTTGAATAACTAATTTGATCTTGAAAATAACAGACTTAAATAAAAAGCAATGACACACGCACGCACGCACGCACGCACACACAAATACGCGCACGCATGCGCGCAAACATTAACCGACGCAACACTTCAAGAACGCCAAAATAAAAGAAACCTTAATATGAATATCGCACAAGAGCACTGTTTTATTTAGTTTGCTCATGGGAAATAATGAACACTATGAGAATTTCTAAAGACCAGCACAAAACTGTATACTACTGAGGACATTTTTACAAAAGTAAAGTTCTAAATATCGTCAGTATTGTCATAAATATGGCATTTTCGACAACTAGACTATGTCATCTATGCTAATGTTGAGTCAAGCATGATGCTTTTCCATGTGTGCTTGTTAATATCCACATAGTTGATTTGACGACTGTAAAACCTACGTTTGTATTTTTAATAAATGCCATACACAAGCTAAGAAAAGTACATGCATCTCATTTCCAAAGAATTTGTCACAGTGGTTGTCCATATCTGACCATAAAATGATATAGTTTCTGTCATTCATTTTCTTCTCAAATTTACGACTTAATGTAATTTAGTGAGTCAAATTTTAATTATGTCGGATTTACTGTACGTAAAGCTAAAGTTATTTTGAAGTTCATAATTACAAGCATGTTGCGACAAGAGACAACCAAATGACAGCTGAAAACGAGTAAAAGAAAGCAACTCTGGCTGAGCCAGATTTAACGACACGTTTAATAACATCTGATTCCATCAATCCCGAATCCTCCAAACAGACTCTCGCTCTCATCTTCCCTTCGAAATGCGGCGCCGTAGTTATTGCAAATTCACCATTAAACAGTGGCTGATTTGTAATCTTATTGTACAAGACACGTTTGTCCCATAACTCGTACTCGGATGGGTTTAATTCGATCTGCTCGCAGAAATACATCTTCGTGACAACAAAAGAACTCGTAAAAAACCGGATGAATTTCTCATCATGTAAATCGCTGAATTGCGGGAGATCAAATGTCATTCTGTTTATTTCGTCTTTATTTAGAGTTTGTATTGAGTCATCATTGGAGAAGAGCTTTGTGTCAAATCCAAGTTCAGCAGACATGGAAATTAATGTTCCATTACTCAACGTCAACGTCCAAGGTAGTTTTAATAACTTCCAAATGCTTTTTAGAAGCTTCCATGTGTACGCTTTTGGGAAAAGATTAATCATTTTAATATAGAGATTCCTGTGCATGTGTGTATTAAGGATTCTTTTAGAGACTGATTTGATTATCCAGAGACGCGGCGGCCATTCGTGACTCAAACTAAAGTTGTTACTAGTAAATGTCTCTCTAATGTCAAACACGGTATCAGCTGTCAGCATAATGTTGATATCTAGTTTGTTCATGAATATTTTCTTCACCCAAAACACACATTTATTATTCTTATCCCGTAGTTGACCAGACGGACAATAAACGTGTCTGCAGGTTTCATTCATCTTAAAAATAACATAAAATGGAACGATATTAAATTCAAATGCAAACAAGGAAAACAAAAATCAGACTTAACAAACAAAACGGACAAAGGTCAATGAAGATGCCTTAAATTATTTAAGCGCAAAACATGAAAACAAGTTTCATTCATTGATAACTAATGCTGTCCTAGGAATCACACAATTATTTTTCCTACACGAATGCATTTATTTTTTTATAGATTTTAACTTTCTTTTCATCAGTTTAACGCTGTCACGTGAAACATTTACTATAAGATGGTCTTCGATATATTTGATATAGCTATATCCTGTAAAGTGTGATACTTTATTAAATCAGTAAGACACCGGTATAACATTCTATATAAGTAACTGCATGACAAATTATTTCCGGAAGCTTGGTCTGCTTTTACTACTTTTCAAAACAGTTTCTATTTATTGCGTACTTTATAATTTAATCCATGAATTGATAAGGAATGGTGCTAAAGATATTGAGAATACAGGTGGTACAATGCTACGTATGCAAGAATATTTCGTGTGAATAGAATTTGCAAAATATCCGTCACTCAAACATAAAACATTAATCTATTGTGATCGAATTTGTAACCCAAGACCTGCTGGTTCGAATCCTGGGCAAGGCGAAATTTGTCAGTGAAAATTGATCTTTTACCTTGGACCTAATGGCCAACTGTCTTTCACAGCCAATTCAGAAAGAGATAAGTGGACGGTCACTAACAAACAAACAAACAAACAAACAAACAAACAAACAAACAAACAAACAAACAAACAAACAAACAAACAAACACGAAACACATAATTACCAACCCTATCAAATACATAATTTTCAGGGCATGGAGGTGGAACTGTCTTCATTTCTTTAAGTCTGCGGAATGTTTCTGAAAGGAATATTCCATCTACATGAAAGTGCATAAAAAACCCGCTAAATCTTCGAGTCCCGTCAGCATCAATATAGCATTTGTCCCTCTCTGAGTATCTGTTGCCATTGCAAATATGACAAAACACATTTGCATACATATCTGTCGCTCGATAAGGTGAAACAAGTCCACTTGTGCAAGCCTGCCTGATTTGTGACATTGTAAGATTTATGTTTCCGGGTATAGCGAACTTTTCATTTGCGCAAGTGCTGATCAAGTTTGTATAGCACCTTTCAGACTTAAGGTCAAAGATATTTCCAGGATATTTAAAATGCAAATGGCAGATTTTTGGAAATGAATTCTGATGTAAGTTAGAAATATATTGAGGTATATCGTTTATGTGTATTGTGTTGGGCAAATATTTACAATTTATAATAAAATTCCACAATACACCATCGGTTACATTATCAGCTTCTGCACATGCGCTGTTGTTATATATTTTCCTTGTTGATTTTGAAAATACTGGTATAAACGAGCCCCATGGATCAGTCTTTTCATCCCCACATTTCAAATTTGGCAGAATGGAATGTCCTGTGCCAACATTATAGTTTCGGACATCATTAATAACCCAGTAAGATTGATAAAGCCGTCGAAATGATCTTCCAACTTGCCCTATCATCGGATATAGACATTTACTATTAGAAACCAAAGTTTTCGATGTTGATACAATTTCTTTAGGAAAACAGCAATTCTGATTGACGTCACAGGAGGGGTCACGGGAGCAATCTGGAAAAGAGCATGATGAAAGCTTTAAATTAAGTAAATATTCTTAAACCTCTTTCTTTCATTCATGGTGACTGTGTGATATAATCAATTTATAAATATACTTTTCTTTACTAAGCATGGTGTTAAGTGCCTTCATTATATACTCGAAACATATGAATGGAAAGCTAAAAGAACAAAAGTATACTTGAAACTGTGTAATTTACGTTGTAGATCTAAATCAAAGGCCTTAATTAAGGGCCATAATGGCTTACGGGTTTAATATGACTTTAAAGTGTTCATGATGTTTTGAAGTTCAAAAAAAAAATAAGGTATCGCTTTCAGTGCCATAGAGTCCTTCGAAACAACCTATTGCAACTATGTGTGCCTATCTGTTAAAACCGGTTTGATTGCATGGCTAAAATAGCTTTCTCGGGAAATCCGAATTATAAAGAAGGCGAAAAATATATGGTGGTCATCAGATCTACAAGTAGATCTGAACTTTAGTCAGATTCAGTCCGTGGATAAACGATTGAAAATAACTGAAATCGAAATTGCGAAACCTGCCGATTTTACTTTGAGTTTAGATCGATGTATAAAATAAGACGGCATGAATAGATAAAGGTTCTTACCAGTACAGCAATGTCCTTTTTTCAGTGTAGACTCATCTGTTAATGTATGGTTTCCGCGACAAACATTTATCCCAGGGCATAGTTGGGGTAAGAAATTACGGACAATGTCCTTTGATGTTCCCTCGACATCTGCTTGATTTTGTGATGCTTTTTTGTGCACACGTGGCTAGTACGACAATTATCAGTATCATCTTCATGTGTGTAGTTATACATGTAAGCTCGACTGAAAGAAACGTGACATACTAGAAGCAAAATATTTTACATCATGTAAGTTTATAAAGAAATTAAAGATTAAACAAGGTGCTTGTTGAATATATACAAACGTGAACGTGAAAAATATCAATTGGTTTGATATATCTAATTTTTTTTGAAAATTATTAATATAAAGTCGATCTTTTTAATGAAATTTTGGTATTTTTGTTTCGGATAAATCTTTTATAATAATATGAGCCCCTTTGAAAACTGAGATTGGAATATCACAACTATCCCAATCTTGATCCAATCATAACTTTAATGTATGGTGGCTGATTTGGTACGCCTTTGTGCATCTAGTTGGCGCTAGCGACAACACGACAAAACGTCAAATGGCGCGTTGTCAGACTTTTCTTGTCGCTAGCGACAGCACGACAGAGCACCAAACGGCGTCCTGTCTCAAGCGCGGCACGCCAAACAGCGCATTGTCGTGCATTGCATTTTCGCGTGGTCGCCCTGTCGCTTTGCTTATTAGCCAATCATTCATTTGAACCGAGCGACAATGTGACATCGCGACAACACGTCGCACGACAACGCGCCGTTTGCCGCGCTAGAGACAGGACGACAAGACGCGACGCACAAAAGCGTACCAAATCAGCCACCATATTAATGTGCATAATTATACAAACGTCGATGGAACTTATTCATGTACACATCAATGCCTAAAATAATTAACGGTAGCTGGGTTTAAGGATTCCCAACATTAACGTGGTTTATTCTCTACTTTGTCTATATGAATTACAAAAAACAAAAATCTACCGCAGACAGGGTCTTTTTAAACCTATGACCTTGAAAGTATTACTACATGCAAATTGATGAAAAACAATTCATGAATACTATCTATTTGAAATCAGTTATCCTCTCGCAATATCTTGTTTTATTTACTTTATATTCATTTCATAATATATTTTAAATAACAATAATAAAAAAAATAAAATAATAATAATAATATTAATAATAATAATAATACTTTTGTTGAAAGTAAACTCTTTGCGACAATAAATTGAATTTGGGATCTTATAAAAGTTTAACAAAAGAGGTGAAAATTGTATATGTATTAAGAGAAAGACTCATTTATTATACCCGAGTATCAAGTATTGTACTCGTAATACTTATTAGCATAGTTGTATAGTAAATTTAAATATTTTCCATAAAAACTTTTTTTTTTCACAATTATTTTATCTATTTTTATATATTATAATCTTTATTTAATTTAACAGACATGTTTATAAATAACTCCATAATACTAATGAATAAAAATTATACAAAAATAAAAAAACTTACACAATTGATGACGGCCAACAAAAACCTTGCTGATATAAAGTACTAAACAGCGATTTTGAGAACAGTCGTCCTATTTATATACTTTTCCAGTTAGATTGAGTTAGATTGAACATTTGGACTGTCTTTCATAGAAAAATATGTATGGGTTACATAAAAGTTTCCATACTTATTCTGAAAAGGCTAGCACTTTCTAGGAAATTGAAAATTATCCCTGGTTTCCTCACAATCTACTATTGTGTGTTATTCTTTCACAAGACAAAGACGCCAAAATTATCTCATTACAAAAAGTGTTTAAAAGTGTTATGTATCTTTACAAATCGAGTTTTTTTAATGTCATAAGTGTCCTTTTCACGCAAGTCTTATACTGAAGGGCGAAAATGACACCAGTTCTGAGAGACATTTGGCACCAAAAGGGAAACTTATTAACGTTCAAGGAAACACGTATTTAAAAGTTTTTTTTAAAGATTTATAGATTGTAAAGAAGGGCAGACGTAATGTTTTAGGAATCGGTAATGATGTGGCTTCTATTTGTCAGCTCTTTCTTTGGTATATCCCTTTATTAGTTGATAAGTATATTTCTGGTTGATAAAATTATTAATATTTACTGTAACATATTTTAAAAAGAAATATATAAACAAGATTTACCAAGCTTATATTTCTTTCTTCTTTCAATTGAAATGTTTGAATTTCGAAAAAAAAAGTTTAGTAGAACGTATGAATATCGGCATCGACTGAATGTGATATAAATTATTTTATTGTATGTTGTAATCTTATTTGTGAATTTGTAAAATTGTAAATACTAATACTAAATATGTTCCATTATTTATAAAGAAAAATGAACAGTATAGCCGTCAGGCCGAGGCTGCAGGCAATGGTAGTGCATGGCTGTGATGTAATTAAAAAATATGAGCCACGCCTTGACAAAACCAACATAATGGGTTAGCGACCAGCATGGATCCAGACCAGCCAGCGCATCCGCGCAGTCTGATCAGGATCCATGCTGTTCGCTATCAGTTTCTCTACTTGTAATAGAGTCGGTAAGCGAACAGCGTGGATCCTGATCAGACTGCGCGGATGCGCAGGCTGGTCTGGATCCATGCTGGTCGCAAACCCATTATGTTGGTTTTGTCGTGACGCGGCTCAATTATCATAGTATGAGAGCATTGTGAGACATGTGGCTAGCTAGGTTGCGTTAAATGCCCGTTCTTACCTTAAGAAATACACAGGTTGACATCATTGGCTAATCCTCCATTGTTTAATGCGAAAAAAATGTCGTCAAGGTTATTATTATTACATGGGAAGATGAAAGGGGGGACAATTAGGTGTGAACAAGTATAGACAAAAACTCTCAGATATCGTGTAAAACGCGTCGACAACAGTCAACGTGTCTACTATACAGGGTGTGACTAGATCTTAGTGATATCATAAATGATAAAATACAGGGTGTTTGCCACACTCTAGTAAAATGTGGTTATTTCGTTCATTTAATACCAATATTCAATTTCAGTTCTGTCTATTTGAAAGAATATCTATGACAATCAATTAAAAAGTAACTATAACCAGATGTGACATCAATCAGACATTTTGGTAATGCCTCACGCATTTTGTGAGAATGTATCATTTTGTAATTATCACATGCAAGTATGATTGTATCATTCAATCTGTATAAAGATTACCATTGATAAACTTAGATTTAAAGCAAATGCCGACAAGTCTTTAATCTTTTTGGTTTTTCTTTTTACATTTACTTTTTTTCAAATAAAATTACATAACTGATATTTTGTATAATTTTATTGGACCTCAGGGGATAAATAGGTATGGCTAATTTGGAAATAAACTTAAATATTCTGTTTTCAGTGTATCTATGCTGCTGATAGGCGGCATACATGTTTTACAAAAATATCTTGTTTGATTGGCCCTTTTTGGGGGCCTCTAGAGCTTAAAATAGGAAAAAACAACAACAAAAAAACCAAAAAAACATTCATACATCTTCTTCTACGGAAGTAATTGGTGGATGATCACCGAACTTTGTCTCTAGCATCTAAGATGGTCTGTCATCAAATTTATTCAAGTTACTTTTATTTGCCTCTTTTAGGGTCACCTTAAGCTAAAAATAGAAAAAGAAAACCTGTAAGCATCTTTTTCTACTGAAAAAAATGATGGAAAATCACAAAACTTTGTCTATATAGCATTTTAGATGTTTTTTTGTTGGTTTTTTTTATCAATTTTAAAAACAATTTTTGTTGAATTTTGTTCTGAAAACTATCTAGAATGATAGGAAATGGTCTAACTAAGAAAATAAATTGAAACCAATATCTTTAATTCAGTCATTAACGCTGTACATCCGTTTAAAGTGTTTTTAACATGACTTCACAATGGAGCGCCAAACAGCGCGTGCAGAAACAATAAAAAAACAAAAACGCTTATTCTTATTCAATGCCGCAATAAACTTAATTTCACATTTATTTCACTCCAAACATATAAAAGTGAAATAAAGTAATGTTAGAATGGAAATATATTTTTTTTATTTTTCATGCGTAATAATAATAATAATAATAATAATAATAATAATAATAATAATAATAAAATAATAATAATAATAATAATAATAATAATAATAATGATAATAATAATAATAATAATGATAAATGGCGGCGATAATTTGTGTATTGAACCGTGTCACGCATCTATAAATAATCACTGTATATTACTGCGCGTTGCGTAGCAAGCCATTTTTTGCTTTTGTCATTTTTTTTATTTACGTGAAAGATTCAATATATTTTCACTGAACATGATAAAATACGACATATTTTCAATTGCCGTTCCGGATCGTGGAAATATGTGACATTTT